ATTTTGCTAAATGAATTCGTTGATTGCTCTCTGCTTTTCAGTGTCTATCACTGTTTTTTATTTTTTTATAATTGTAGCTTTGCAAAACAAATGGATGGGAAGTCAAAAAAAACATATAAAAAAGCACATCTTTTAGTTTAATGAAACTGACAAATTCTAGCAGAAAATTTTTCTGTTATTTTCTTTTTGCAGTGCCATCTTGCTTTGGAACTTCACAAAAACAAACATTTTTCTGTGAATATTGATATAGAGATGCTTAGAGTGATCACGCATAATTTTCTTCCGTGTTTTCGTTGTTTATGTGTATCAGAATTGTGTGATATCTCGATGAAATGGACAGTCAAGATTGGTTATCGATGTTTGTTTTTGCGAGATGTTTGCAAATCTTTATATTTTGTTGATTGCAGTTGAAAAGGAGAGGATCAGATTATGAAGCATTGAAAAAGAAACATTTCCAGCAGAAAGTTTGTGTGAATGCCATTTGTAAGGCTGTCACGTAAGTTTTCGTTCGTTTTACGTCTTTTACGCTGTTTTTATGCCATTTGGCAGAGGCTTTCATCTGACACAATTCAACGCTTTACTGTAAATCCGGTCCACTCCAGCCGTTAAACTCTTTAAATGAATTATGGAGGTTTTCTATTCGACATATGATCACAATCGAATCAATACTTCAAGCGATGAAGTATCCTTAAAGTGCATTACAACTGGGAATTCCCAAACATTAACTGAAATATCCGAAATGCAAATTACCGATAGTAATAATTGAGCTTGCAGTGATAACGGAATCGAGGTGAGAGTGGTGAGTCGAGAAGGATATAACGACGAAGCGGTTCGATGGGCAGATGCCGTCTTCTCGGCTGGTGGTGATGGAACCTTTCTGATAGCGGCCGCAAAAATCAATGATCAAAAGCCTGTTATTGGATTCAATACCGATCCACACGGGTTCGTTTATATCCTCTTATGGAGAAACTGAATACGGTAACTTATCATGAAATACAGTTGAACATTTATTCATGAAATTTGTTGCAAGTACATGAATGTGAAGTGATCCTCGGATGCTTACAGCTCATACTTTGGCGAATATTTGAATGCCAACAGTCGATTTCATATTAGATTTCCAATCTGAGAATGATTAATTGAAGAATGCATGATTCGTTCTTATTTGTATGTGCTTATTTTTGCAGTTCCGAGGGATATTTGTGCATCACACGAAAATCGAATTGTCCTGTACGTGATGTTATCGATAAACTTCTCAGAGGTGAATTCAGGTCAGTGAATTAAATTTTTTCGTATCGATGCCTTTTCATCTTTATTCGCCAATCATCTCATCTTAAGTAATTTATTGGAGTTGCTGGAACTTATCGCAAGAAGAAAAACAGATTTGATTTTCAGCTGGATGTGGCGACAACGAATTCGTGTAACGGTTCTCAAATGGGTGGAAGATAGCAATTGTGGTTCTGAAGCTGAAGATGAATTGTCCGAGAAAAGTGACAAATTGAGGAAAGCGAGGTTGGGAAATTACATTACTTGATATTTTCACTTGAAATTTGGTAAGGCATGAGACGAATGATCAGATAATGGTTACTCGAACCAATAATGAAATTACATAACCATTTTTGCATTTTCCCATTATCAAGAGTTTGATTCGATTGCGAAGTGGATTCAAATTTTATGCAAGATGATTTGTTTTTCATTGAATGCAGCTGACATATTGAAGGTTATTCCGTTCGGATTCATTCGACCCAGAAGTACCGGTGCTAGCGTTAAACGACGTTTTCATTGGTGAAAGTCATGCGGCACGAGTGAGTTATTACGACGTTCAAATAGACGATGGACCGATGTTGCGTCAAAAGAGTTCTGGATTGACTGTGTCGACGGGAACTGGATCAACTTCATGGTATAGTTTAGTTGTATCCTGTTTCTTCTATACATATAACAGTCATATCTTCCATATATGTTTCCCAAAAAACACTCTGCGTTTTTGTATAATGAATGTTTATGCCTTAGAAGGAAGTTTTGTATGAGATTTCTTCCATTACTAAGTTTTTTTGAGCAGCGAAGGTGGTTGAGTGTATCAATCGTGGACCGATGTGTCGTCATGTTGGCAGTTTTTCTGATTTTAGTTTCGATTTGAATCGTTGAGCATGTTTCTATTCTCATACTTGCGGCCAGCATTGCATAAACTGCCAAATTATACATGTATTATTCAACTTCGCTTTCGAAACATCTTATGTCATAGGTACATTCTGATAGATTCAAACGTGAGACCTACTATTCCTTGCTTTCTGAAGCGGGGAAATTCCTAGCATGTTTCACACTTTATTCCTGAATGTACATCTTTTTTTGAGTGATTTATTTTTATGCGTATGCGCCCAATCATAACGATAATTCATTTGAGGAATTACAACATCAATCGTGTATCCGAGCAACACATCAACGATATATTAGCCATTATGAAGCCAATGGGTCTTTTACGCGCTGAACCAACGGCTGAAATAACAGACGAAATTTGTAGGCGATTCAATGAAAAATTAACTTTCGATCCAAACTCGTCGAGTATGTTTATCGTTTTTGTATTTGTTTGTCATTTTCTGCGTTCAGTTCGGTCTTGTGACATGTAATCAGTACTTGTTTTCAACTGTTGCGCTAATTCTTGGTCATGTTATCAGTCATTTTCAAATGTCCCGCACTTGTCACATCCACATTTACGTAACGTTGATCCGTGGCAAGTTTTGCTTTCGTAGGTGTTTACATCTGCGATGTATGAAAAACTGAGTTGACTGGATGCCACTGGCTTCGGAGTGTGCTAAAATAAATTTGCGACTTTATTCGAAAAGGCAATTGAAAGAGTGTTTTATGTTGTGCTCCGAGGGAAGGTTTCCAAATGCCTTGCTGCTTCAGTTTGATGAACATTCATTGTTATCAAAAGATGATATGAAGACAACGACGATATCAATGTGACAACATTTCAGAGTTATCATTCACGGTACGTGATCCAGTTTTCAACGCAACATTCCCGTCGATGGCGCCACGAGGGTATGCGTCTCGTATTCGTGTACGGTCTCGTTGCAGTGATGCGCACTTGGTGTTGGATGGCGGTGTTTGTATACCGTTCAATTATGGCACTGAAATTGTTCTTGAAACGCATAAAGAAGATGCGCTACGTTCTGTCATGTTCTTATAGCGTTGTCATTAATGTGTTTCAAGGTGTATGTGTGTGTGTTTTGTTTTTTAACAAATGGTGTGCCAATTTCTGAGAGAACACTTCATTATGTCGGTCGAAAACACATTAGTGCTGATTTATGTAAGTTGATTGTTTGAATTTGTACGGTGAATTTTTTTATGAGTTGAGTTTCGTCACTAAATTCTAAAGAAAACTGAATTCCATACAGATATTTATTTATTTGATGGTTGGTTATTTCTGTTGTGTTGAATGCTGCTGTTAATATGTGATGAAGCGTTGCTTTGAGAACAACTTTGAATAATTCGATTAATTGATGAGAATCATTTCCGTCCCACATTCCTAACTGTCGTTTTTGTAAAATTTTGTAAATTTGTAAAGATAGCTTTGTAAAATTTATTTTTTTCTGCACCAAGCAGTAAGGATAACGTTTGAGTAAAATGGCGCTGGACTTAATGATTAACTGATTGAATTAATTGACTTAATTAGATGAATTGACTTGATTCGAACAGATCCATAAAAGTGCACACTGAAATGAATCGTTTTGTGAGGTGGCAAATTCTATTGAGCGAAATCTAATGAAAACGCGATTATCAAGGAATGTGCGTTGCACTTTATGTGGTCTTAAATGTCATCATAATAATCAGCGCATGAATCGACGGTCATTTTTTTATATGTGGTTGATTTGCTGAACTGATGAGTCACCTCTTTTGTAAATATGAATATGTTTTCCTCTTCGAATGCTTGCATTCACTTGCTCTTTGTTTTTGTTTTGTAATATTTAGAAGGAATTTTATTGAGACTGGTGATAAAGGTGATAGAATTACAAATGATTTCTAAGGAACGATTGGGTGTTTTCATTGAATTGATAAATGAATTCCCTTTACATTTATACACTTCATTGTTGGAATGGTTGTTTTCCTTCAATAATCGCTCGTTTTTGCTGTCTTAAGTGTTGGTATAGGTGTTGATAATATCGTGAGAAGTTAAACGTTGACCTCATCAATTTCAAGTTAATGAATGTGCCAGTTGGAATTCTGACGGTGGTATATTGTTCGGCTTCAAGCAAAACTGAATGCTATATGAGAGGAGTGGTGCTCGTTCATGTGCAATATAAGCATGGTGAAGGACGCGTTGTCAAGTGAAACATAACGCTAATTTGACGATAATTTCCTCCTGAAGATGCAGAAGTTTAAGGGGATAATCAGGTTTCTTGCATGACCTGACGGAATTGTATTGCAAATACCAGAATCCTTGAAAGTTTTTAAGGTGTTCGTTTGAGGAAATTTTACTCACGTTCTGTTTTGAACATACCTTGAAAAGAGAGAATTTACTATTAGTCTCCGATATATTAATCGCATAAATTTGACGCAACTTTCTGCGATACATAGCGTTTCTCGCTGAATTCACTGTTTCCCCAGCATTGCTTTTTCGATACGGTTGTGCATAATATTATCAATTGATTATCAATTCTTTTAACCTAACCTAGAGCTAAAGCATACGTAGAGAAGAGAAATATATGGTGATCACTGGGAAGTGTATGATTGAAAGCTGGAAATTACGAAAACAAACTCATATTTTCAAGTGTCACCTTAGAAATTCCAGAATTGTTTCAATATATACGAAATTTGATTGATTAGATGAAAACTTTCGATGTGGTCATTGGGAGAAACTTCAGAGAGAAGAATTTCTTCGTTTTGACGAGTGTGCGATAGCTGATTGGATTGCTCACTCAGTGTCATTCACCATTACTCGCTCGGTGCATTCATGAAGGAGGTAATAATTGCTTTTTTTATGTAATGCTGTTTTTGATCTGCTTTTCTTAAGCATGTTTTTGATTTCGGTGTGGATCTGAGAACTTGATTTCCAAGCACTTCGAGTAGTTTTTGGTTTCAAAGCGATACAGTATCGCGGCAGAATCTCTGAAGGTTTTTTGCTACAATATATTTGCTAGAAACTGAAGCACTTGTAAAACTTCTGAAAGATCGTCAACAATTTATCGCGAAATAAACTTTGAACGATAGAAATTAGCTAACGATAAGATGGGTTTTTGAGCATTCATTCATTTGTTCACTAATAAATACATGTAAATGGGCCACTTTATGCACATTTCAATAAAATTGAAACACTCGAAATTATGAAGCGCTTATAAACTGAATTCATATAAACACGATGCAATTTTACCACAATTCAAGGAACGATAAGAACAATAAAACAATTGAGTTATTATTATTATTACAAATAAAATTCTTCGGTATTACAATCTTAATTAAAAACAAAACAAGAGGACGAAAATCTAACAATAATGATTCTAAAAAAACAATATGCTATTCAGTTATTCTAAACATTAGTCAAATTGTAACCGTTCAGGAAACATACAATTAATTGTATTATCGATAACGAAAACATTAGAATTGTTTGCAACAATTTGATATTCTAAAATCGTTTCACAAACAACGTTCAGTACAGATTAAAAACCTAAAGAAA